TTTTCAATGATATAAGGGATTTAACAAGTGGAAAGGAAGCTTGGAAAGTATTAGCTGAAACATATGAGGATAAGGGAATCACAAGAAAGGTTTCAATAATTAAAACATTAGTGAATACCCGTTATACTGATTGTAAGGATATGTCTGACTATTTACATAGGGCCATTTCAGCTTATCAGCAGTTAAAATCTACTGGTGTTAAACCTGATGAAGAATTAATTGCAGGAATAATTTTAGCTAATTTACCTGATAGGTTTGAACCTCTTATAATGGCTTTGAAAAATTGTGGTGAGGCAATAACAGTTGACAATGTTAAAAATCGCTTGTTAGCCGAAGATTCAAAACCCCTAGTCAATGAAAGTAAGGAATATGCATTTGTTAATAAAAATATCGGAAGCAAAAGGTACTTTAAAGGAAAATGTTTTAAATGCAATTTGTTTGGCCACAAAAGCTCCGATTGTCAGAAGTCACCTCTCAAAAAGGGTAGATATAATGAAAACAAGTTTAACAAAATGTCTAATGTTGGATTAAAACATAAAAAAGGGGAAGAAGCTTATGTAGTGGAAATTAGTGTAGCTAATTCTAATCCACATCCCAATATTTGGTACATGGATTCTTGTGCTTCTTACCACATGACTCCACATAAAGAATTATTAGATGATTATCAGGATGCTAGTATTCATCAAATAAAAACAGGAAGTTCAGTAATAGAAGTAGAGGGTAAGGGTAAAATAACTTTCCTCTTATCTAGAAATAAAAAAAGGGAGTCTGTAACTTTTAGTAATGTTTTACACGTTCCAAAGTTAACAGCCAATTTGCTGTCCATTAAGTATTTAAATAAAGTATTTGGAATGGTTAGTACTTTTACAAGTGAAAGATGTTTTGTGTATGATGGTAAACATTTAGTTGCTACTGGAACAGGTATGGGAGATAATTTGTATTCTCTTGATTTATGTAATGAGTGGGCTTTAATTACTGCTAAAAATATTTCAAATGAATTATTACATAAAAGAGTGGGCCATTTAAGTGAAGGAGGAATGACCAGATTAAAAGATATGGTCGAAGGTTTTACATTTAATGGAAAATTGTTAAATTGTGTGTCATGCATTAAAGGCAAAATGCATAGACAACCATTTCCCAAGGGAAAAGCTAAGCGTGCAAAAGAGTTATTAGGCATAGTACACAGTGACCTGTGTGGGCCTATGAATGTTACATCAATTGGTGGTTCTTCGCTACTTTATTAGTTTTATTGATGATTTGTCGCGAATGACTTTTGTTTATTTTTTGAAAAATAAATCTGATCTGAAGTTTTTGAAAAATTCAAAATATTTCAAGCATTTGTTGGAAAGGCAAACTGGCAAATCAATCAAAATCTTACACTCAGATAATGGTACTGAGTATGTAAACAATGAGATGGATAACTATTTAGCATCAAATGGAATTCAGCATCAAAAATCCTATTCCATTTACACCAGAGCAAATGGGTGTAGCTGAACGTAGTAACAGAACTCTTGTAGAGCGAGCACGATCAATGTTGGTGGATGCTCACCTTGATCAAAATTATTGGGCTGAAGCAGTGCAAACTGCAAATCACTGTAAAAATATATCTCCAACTATTGCAGTTGCAGGTATGACCCCTTATGAAAAATGGTATGGGGATAAGCCAAATTTAGAATACTTGAGAGTATTTGGATGTCGTGCATTTGCTCACATTCCAAAACAAAAACGTAAAAAGTGGGATATAAAAGCAAAGGAATTAATGCTTGTTGGGTACTGTCAGGATAGAAAAGGCTATCGATTAATAGATCCCAAAACTTATGAAATAATAAATGCACGAGATGTACAATTTTTTGGAAAATGAAATGTACTACAAAAAGGCAAGTAATATGCCAAAATTCTATGATGAATCCTCATTCAGTGGGAGCGTGATTACGACATTTTCAGATACTGAGAATGCAATAGCTGATGATCAGAACGGTGAATTGGAAGGGATGGTTAATGATAATACTCAGTCTGATCATGAATTAGTTAATGCTAGTATTAAATCTAATCACGATGAACATAATACTGCTCAAAATGATAGCCATGATAACAGTAGTGTAGTTGATGAGCTACCTATGTTGACTAGAAACAGAAAACTTAGATTCCCAAATAGTTATCAGGACTTTGACACACACAGGATGCCAGAAATGCCAATGCCAAATTTAGATCGAATGTGCTTTGTTAAAGCTTTGGCAGCAGCAACAAATGGTGTGTATTCTGAACCGAAAACCATTGATGAAGCATTAAGGGGCAATGATGCAAACCATTGGAAGGATTCTATATGTGAGACTATATTAGGCCATATTAAAAACAAAACATGGGAAATAACAGATAAACCTTATGATAAGAACATTGTAGATTGTAAATGGGTTTTCAAAATTAAATGTAATTCAGTAGGCAAGATTGAAAGATATAAAACACGTTTAGTTGCTAAGGGCTATTCTCAGATTGAGGGAATAGATTATACTGAAACATTTGCACCAGTTGTCCGATACGTAACATTAAGAGTTTTATTAGCTTATGCAGCTATATATGATTGGGAAATTGACCAAATGGATGCTGTAATGGCTTTTGTACAGGGAACTCTAAATGAAGACATTTATATGAAAATTCCAGACGGTTTCAATGAATTTTACAAGCAAAACTTAAAGGGAAAGGTCCTAAAATTAAACAAAGCATTAGATGGTTTAAAGGTTTAAAGCAGAGTGGTAGACTATGGTACCAACTGTTAGAAAAGGGTTTAATAGAAATGGGACTGAGGAATGGGAAAAGTTCTTTTGATAGTTGTGTCTATATTAAAATAAATGAAAATAAAGATCTTGTTATTGTTACTATTTATGTTGATGACTTACTCATTTTTAGTAATAACATAGAACTTAAAAATTGGGTAAAACAACAACTTAAAGAAAAATTTGAAATGAAAGACTTGGGACCAGCAAATTATTGCTTAGGAATTAAAATTGAACGAGATAGAACTAAAGGGTCCATTAGCCTTAGTCAAACTCAGTATGTAGAGAGTATGCTTTGCAAATATAATATGAATCTCATGGTGTAAAAACACCATTAGACCAAAATCAAGTGTTATCTAAACTGCAGATACCAACTAGTAAGGAACAAAAGCTACCTGTTCCTTATCAGGCTGCCATTGGGAGTCTTCTTTATGCAGCTCAAGCAACACGGCCAGATATATAACTTATGCTGTGAATTTCCTTAGCCAGTTCTCCAATAATCCGGCAAGGGTTCACTGGAATGCTGTCAAGCGCATGATGCGGTCGGTATCTTCGAGCCACTACAGATGCTACATTGTCTTGTTCAAAGGACTATAGTGCTGATGTCCTTGGTTACAGCGACTCAAACTATGGAGGTGATGCTGGGGATCGACGATCAACCACTGGATATGTTTTCCTCATCGGAGGTGGTGCAGTGTCATGGTGTAGTAAGCGTCAACCAACCATTGCAAGTAGTACAACAGAAGCCGAATATATGGCTCTTTCTGCAGCTACTAAAGAAGCCATATGGCTCAACAACAAAATTGTTAAAGAACTTGGGATTATTACTGCAAAGCCAGTATTATTATACTGCGATAACAACAGTGCTATTAATCTCAGCAAAAATAGTGTGTATCATGGTAGATCAAAGCATATTGATATACAACATCATTTCGTGCGAGAAGCTGTGAAACTTCAGCACATTGACATACAATATAAGACTACTAATGATATGATTGCAGACTTTTTTGACAAAAATTGTAAACAGTGCAAAACATGAAATGTGTGCAAAAATGATGGGTTTAAAATGAAGACCAATGTAATTTAATGTTTTTATTATATGTATGTGTGCTGATGTAATTTCTCAATGTATTTAATTAGGATGATATTTAAACCTAAAGTGGGAGTGTAAAAAAGGTTAGCTTTAAATATGTTCTTGGCCCATAGATGGCGCCACTGTTTTTTATTCTTCTATAACTGTGCACTCCAATAAAACTACTTGTGTTCCAAACTCCCAACAGGTATGTTGTGTATTATTTATTCTCATGCATGCAAGTAACCACTCTCTGCTATATTGAGTTTCTAATAAAGATTTTAAGAAATCAACGAAATAATGGAAAATTATTCTTCTTACGCCATTTGCGTCAGCGAAGCGGAGACGTAGAAAGTCAATGCACACTAATGAAAACCATGTTGAGATATCAGTAAAAGTTGAAATGCATTAATAAGAACAAAACTGTATAATATGGATAAACATTCCTCTTCGAAATAAACAGGTGCATGTTTCCTTTGTAGAATCAACGCCACTCATTAAATCCTACTGCCATATCAGTTCTTCAAGGACAACCCTAAATCATAATGAAAAGGGAAAGTAGCTGAATGCTGACAGAACTGGCACAGATAAAAAATAATTCCTGCATAACTTTCTCGGAGGGCCATTTGTAAAGTCTAACTTACATATCTTATCACTGGTTAACTAATGATAGGTAGTCATGATTCGTAACATTAACGTAATGAAAATTGGCACATTCACACTTTTGTAACACCCTATATGTAATGACGCGTCAAAGTCACGTAAAACTTCCTCTGTTTTTTGTCTTTCACTTCTTGAAATCCTAGCACTACATCTATGAATGGATAAACTGGAGAAGACATCGTATCCAGTTTAGTATTCAACCTAAATCTCCCCTCCCGTTCACAGCGTATGTAATATTCTAATTCCTTGGTTAAATTATCGCCCAATTAATTGTTAACGCAGCCAGAACTGATTTATAATCTCGCGATGTGCCAAAAGGCGGCTTATTCTGAGTGCCAAGATCTTTGCCGACGCGTCAGACATGACGCCGGGTTGAAAAACGTTAGGAACACGGGGTGGAATTGGGGGTCTAAAAAATTAAATATTCTGATAAACAAAAGACAGGAATAAATAATTGCTTGAAATCTGTCCTAATTTGGGAAGTAATTACTCACCTGCTCAGTTAGACACGGATTGAATGGGTATCCTTCTAAACTTCGACCGCATCTAACTCTAGTAGAAATAACAAATTCGCCTTTGGGATCCAAGTTCACGAGGTTGTTAACATTTCCAAAATCTTTAGGAGGATGCTTATCCTTTGGGCCGAAACCTACATGATATTCTTCAATGATAGGATTGAAAAGGTCAGCAAAAAGTGTATATGCTTCTGCGTCTGGTGCATAGACTCCAACACCACTATCCAAATTTTCAATTCCTAAAGAAAGAAAGAAAAAAAGCTTTAGAAGGAATAGATATTCAATATTGCACTCGAAAATATAACTAATCGTAAGTGATTCGAAAATTAGTCGGGAGAAAAAGTTGAGCCTGTAATGTTGAAATGAACACAATATAAAACCTAGCAAGTAAGCTGTACGTAGTAAGCTGTACGTTCTTTTAAATGAATGGCTTTGCGAAACATAGGCGTGCTTCAATGATTTCCTAAATTTCTCCCTCCGTTATCAGAAACGGAAATAATGGTAATAATTTTCCGCTTAAAAAAAGTATTAAATGGTAAATACATATTAAATGAAATGTAATTGAAGATAAATACATAAAAATTAAAAAGTAAACTCCGATATCGCACTCCAAAGAATTGAAAATTTGGTATGCTTTATCCGTAGATAAGAAAAAAATTATCTCAAAAAAGTTTAAAAATTGACTGATTAATCACCCCCCCCGGAAAAAAACTGATGATCATTAACATATCAACTAAAAGAAATGAGTGATAACTGTAATTTTCAAAAAATCATATTAAAGTCAATCGCAATGATTATGTGAAATTATAAAATTTATCTTTCAATTTCGCCCTATGTTAATAATTTTACACGAAAAATTACAAGCATAAAAATTATGGTTCAGATCCTTTCATCGAGATACATATTTCTATCTAAAATATGCATTTATTACTATGAATAATCATTTTACTTACACATTATGACATATGCTTACTAGTAAGCCCCCAATTCTCTAACGAATCGAATAAGCGAACGCGTGAAGCTCGCTACGGTATTACATACATGAAAATCAAAATGGGAGAATTAAAAAGTAGAGAACAAATCTAACTTTAAAATTGTGTATATACACTATTTTGCAAAAAAATCGAAGCACCATGAAGGAAGTGGTTGTTTTTGATGAAACGGAATATGTGTATAGCCCATTCACAGATAATAAATGATAAAATCAAGCCATAGTACCTGTTCACGGCTCACAACCCCTTGAGCGTTCAAATAGTAGTTGTCGAACCCCTCTGCGGCAGGCATACTTTATTCAGTGGTCCCCAACCCCCGTCCGCAACCGGTACCGTTCCGTGGATCAAATGGTACGGCGCCCATTTCATTGATCTGAATTTCAATTCTAGGTTATACTCCAAATTAAAACATTGTGTAATAAAATTTTATTTATTTAAAAAAGGGGCTCCGAACGTAGTGACAATTAAAAAAAAAAAAAAAGGCACAAAACCACTGAACTTTTTCTCTTCAATTAGTTTTATTAAAAAAAAAGCATCATCATAATGTAACTCAGGGTTCCTTGATTAACTTTTAGTAAGTTAAAATGTTAATATTTATATTATTTTTCGTGTACTGGATTTATTAGAAGCGGTTTAAATATATTAAATTAAATTATAAATCAAAAACCTAAAATATAACAATCAACTCCCCCAGCGGGCCGCGGTAAAATTATCAAACGTTGACCGGTCCGCGGTGATAAAAAGGTTGGGGAACATAGCTTTAAGTCATAGAGGCCACGAGTGGTATAGGTTTCTAATGTCATCTTGCGACACATTCTGTCAGGCACTACTCATCAGTTGTCGCTCCAGATATGCGATATTTTGTGATGCCCGAATCTGGCGGCCTACCATGTCCAAGACATGCTCGATTGGCGAAAGGTCTGGTGACCTTGCTGGCCAAGGAAGAGTATCAACCGCACGGAGACAGTCCAGAGATATGCGAGCGGTATGTGGCCTGGCATTATCTTGTTGGAAAATGGCCCCGGATACGTGCCATGAAGGGTTAATGCACCGGCCGCGGATGCTATCAACTATCGTAGCTGTAAAGATTGACAAAGGGTGACAGATGACTTGATGTCATAAGAAACGCCCCACATCATCACAAGGCGGTATGGCTGTGCCTTGTAAACAAAGGCTGATTGGGACCGCTGGCCCCGTCCTCTCCAGACACGAACACGGCGGTCATCTGCTTCAAGAGTAAAGCAGACGAACATGGTGGTCATCTGCTTCAAGAGTGAAGCGGGATTCATCGCTGAACCCTAAAGGATGCCAGCGGCTGTGACACCACTCCAGACGACTCCGCCCATGTTGTGGGGTCATAGACAAACGTCTTAAAGTCCTCTATGAGCGTAACCCCGCCTCAGACAAGCGCCGTGAGATGGTGGACGGTACCACGGGAGGTATAGATGTGGCTGGTAGTGCGTTGAATAGTCGACAATGATACCTTTGGGGCGGTTCGGGCCTGGCGAACAATCATCCTATCTTGCCTCGCATTTGTGCTCCTTGGCCTTCGCAAGCCTTCATTTCGTCGGCAATTTCCTTGTAGCAACCACTGCTGTCAACAGCAGTGTCTGTACGCTGCAGTTGGCGGCCAATTGCTCGGTATGACCACCCAGCTTCACGCAGCCCTACAGTGCGACCACTTTCGAAATCATTTAGTTGTCTGTAAGGTCTTTGATATCATCGTGTAATGGCATCTTTAGATGCTTCTTTACAGAATTACAGTGCCAACAACAAAAAAAGATAAAATTTCCAAGGAGGTTAGAATAGAAGGAGGGAGGGGTCGCGGTTTCCTCCACTATCGGGGAATGAAACTCCGCCGAACAAGCGGCTTCCTTTTGGACTCAAACATGCATTACGGCAGTGAATGTACGTGTTTCTAACCTGTTCCGTGCATTTATTTTCCAGTAAAAAATGTTAAATTATAATGAAATTACTCGCTATTGTTGAATTTTTGTTTTAAAGTAATAAAGATGATATCCATAATTCTATGTACAGCAAATTATTAAGAAATAGTTCGAAATGTAAATGCATGCACATAACATTAAAGCCTTTAAAAATTATGTTTCTGCATATTCACGAACTGCTTAGGTTAGAAAAAATCTTAATAAAAAAAAACAGATTATGTGAATTCATTGATTTCAGTTTATGCGCATTTCATATTTATATCTCAAAGAAATGCCTTAATTAAGTTGAATTACAGAAATACACTTATATAAGTTTTTGGATACATCTTTCCACATGTTCAATTGTGTAAATATTTTACTTATTTTATCACTATACTGCCAGAAATTTGTAAGTTTATGCAAAAAATTTGTAATAAGAGAACAGTTTATCTTAACTTAAAATGAATAATAATTATATATAAGAAAAGCATTGCTTTATTTAACACCTTTACAATTAAAATAAATAGTAACAATGATTCTTTTTCATGAAATTATAAAACGATTAACTAAAACGTTCAATTATACAATTTAAATCCTACCATATAGCATTGTATCTTAAGTAACGAAGATACCAGCTATAAACAGAAACATTGAAATGTATTTAACATATTTTGATTATAGTTATATTACGTAACCTATTTTGATTATTTAAGTCCCTTTTTTTTCACATCTGGAAAGAAAACAACATGACATTGTGATATTTTTTGACATAGTTGTCGTATTACATAAAAAAAGAAAATCAATACTTACGTGTGAAAAATAACGCCCAGAATTTTTTTCGAGAATCTATTTGTGCACCCATATGCAACACAAGCTGACATGCTTCAAAAAGAAAAAATGTTGCAATGACAGACTTCCTGCACAAGTCACGGTGATAACAGGAAGATGGCCGCGAAGCTTCACCGTTTGAGTTGAAACCTCCTTCTTTCTAACCCCTTGAAATTTTCCTCTGTCTGGTTTATAGTTTGCGAATGCGCACGAGAAATGCGCGCTGGATCGCATTCCTGTTCTTTGCCTTGAAACTGATCATTTGCATGTTCGATCAAGATGTTTTTGCGTACCAAATTTCGTCACGATCGCAAAAGTCCTTCTTGGTGCTTAGATTTCTTTGCAAAAGAGTGCATTTTGAGATAAACAAACATTATACGAAATTAAATAATAAATAAGTAATATTAAATAAAGATTAAACGAAGGGGATCAGTTAAAGCCAGGCGGATTAATTAAATTGTTAAACTTAACGTACACATAATACATATGTACAGTACTTTACATTAAATGTAAAAATCGAAGCAGAAAACTCTCCTTTGCTTCAACTGAAACGTAATAATAAATTATGACACAATCATTGCTAAACAATGAGCACTCACTTTCTCCCGCAGATAGGGAATAGTTTGTCCATGCTTTCACGTTGCGGGGAGAAGGAAGGGAACAGGAGAATTTCTTTGACCTTGATCAACTGAATGTGTCCGTGGCACACACATTCGCCTTTTATAATATAGGACTGGGTTTAAAACACCGGGAAAATGATTTTGGATAAAAAGAAGATAAGAGAACAGTAACGTAAAAAAGTTTTTCGTTATCCTAATAAGTCCAAACATCATAAATTTTAAGTGTTAATAATTTTGAAATTAAAACTTGCAGGAATTCTGAAAAAACTATAAAATTTCCGTATAATAAGTTATATCCAATTTTTATAGAATTGGTGGTTTACTACTACTTTCTTTAAAGAGATAGGAAACTGGACGGAACCAAAACATTTGCTCGTTATATCCAGGGGTTCGTTATAAACCGCGTTCGCTGTAGAAAGGTTTGATTGTATTAAAAAGCGAATTAGTTATGCTATAAAATCATTCACATTGTGGGGATTCATTTAATTTATCTAACAGTTAATTTTTACTTTAAAGCCACTTTCCTTTGATTCTCGTTTTCAACCCACACTTTCTTGCCAGAATGTTAGTAAGCTATCGCACGTATATTCAAATGAGTTATAAAGAAGTAAACTATTATAAAAGAATTGCAAAGGATCTCGAATTTAAAAATATTTGTTATTATTTGAAGGATCCAGATTATTTTGAACACGTGGACATTAGGGCGATAAGAAACACAACCAACAATTAGAAACTTATTGATAAATTTTTATTTTATTCGAAAACCACAATTCAAAATTACCAGCTTAGTCCGGTCATCCCAGCATTTCTGACAAGCAAGTTAAATATTCTAAATTACAAACATGATTACCCATGTCTGTCCACCCTGGAATCAGAAAATGAGTACAACGAGTTCG